CGAGCCGCCGCGATACGAAACTATAAATAATAATAAAGTACATGAAAGCGTACAACGTTATTTTTAAGATATTTGTTTTGATATCACAAAAATGTACAAAAAAGACAAATAAAAATTTGCAGATACTTATTTGGACTTTTCCATGGTTAATAATAATAAATACATTTGTTTGTCAGTAAAACAAATACTATTTAGTGCTAGTTTAGTTTTATTACTCGTATCAACATGATCATAAATGTTGTTCGAAACGACATCGTTTTGGATGGAAGAAAATAAAATTGCACACGACTAATGATTGTGAATGTGTACGAGAAAAACAATTATTACATTTGGTTCTATACACTTCATTATTATTGGACGTCACTTGGGTAAGAAACGGAATCGATGATTGTGATAATTCGAGGGGAATGAAGCGTGTAAGGGAAAAATTCTGTGGTCAAACAATGTGGACAATACGTGTGACTGCTGCTGCAATAAAACAGTAAATCTACACAATCGTATCGTTTTTATAAAAATACGACGAACGTGTCTAAACGGAGCGAAAAAAAACAAGGAGGCTGGAAGAAAAGCATTTTAAGAATGTGTACCCTGTGAATCGCTATCTAAGAGCAAATAGGAAAAATCAAAAACTACTTTAGATTAAAAAGGTTTTTCAGCGGCGGACGCGATGATGACGAGAGACCGAATAACTCTAATAAATTATAAAAATCCGTTACGCACAAAACGCCGCAATTTATTCTGATCGACAAAATACGAACGGCCCGCGCGATCGTCGCCCGTTGGTTTTTAGAAAAATAGTTTTTAATACTTCTCGGAGAAAAAGAAAAAAGCGTGTTCCTTACTCTTTATAGAGTCCATTAGCCGCGCGTATTTCATTGTTAAAGGGAAATATAATAAAATATACGAAGTTAGACCACTAACTTTATAACTCACCGCCCACAAGGGCATTTTTTACATACTTCATCGAGTACTAATTTCTATACTTATATATTTTACACTCATTGTGTACAGTTTAAAAAGATCTTGGATATACTAATTGAATACGATTATTGATTCAATCGTGTCAATTGTCTTCGAAAAAGTCGCTCGTATATTTTGTGTACAATATTCTTACAGGCCGGTGGCGTGGTAGTGGTGTTTGAATTGCGAGCAAATTAAATCATCTATTATCCGCCCTCTAAAAAAATTGATTATCTGATCCGCGATAAAGGGCTCAAACTCTATTCGATTGCATTTTCAATAAACTCCAATTATAATGTTATCGTAATAACATGCAAATACTATTATAAAAAAAAAAAAACGTTTGCTAAATCGTTTAGTGATCAGTACCACGTACAGTAATCGGTATGCACGTTCATAAGCTGTGGACTTTTCGTAATAATCGTAATCATTGGAAAACACTGAACATTTCGTAAGAGATCAAAATCAAACGGTCTAATTAATACTTGGGTGATTACTAAAGCGTGTGTGCCCTACCCCTCCCCATCACCTGTTATTCAAAACGTCGCTTTCTTGTTTTTCTTGTTTCAATACCGACAAACCCAAAATACGGGATTTTCAAATTTTTTGTAACGAACCTTAGAATTGACTACCTTTCTCCTTGGTCTTAGACTTTTCATTAGTTTACAAAAACAATAGATAACATTATTATTTTTAATACATCAAATACAGGACGGTTCTTTAATCATAATCCGGCGATTTTCTCAGGAGATTTTAATTAAATATAGTTTTTGTTTTTTTCAATCGGTATGCGATTTTTATTTTAAATACCTTTTTCCTTTTTTACTGCCATCTCCTAACACCTTGAATGGGTATTAACTTTGATGAACCTCCTCTACCTTTCAACTAAGATACATAAAATAATTTTGATATATGCATAACACCAATATTGAGTTTATCGTTTACGAATTATTAGTTAATTAACAGTTTATAATTAAAACCACAACGGTGTAATGAAAGGTTATAAATTGATTATATTAATAGTAATAGATCACGATAAACGAATCATTTCGTCTATAAAACTATATGTTTTAGATTCTGAGTACAGCAAAGAATGTATTGGTTTTACAAAAATGTTTTTTTTTTTTTTTTTATGGGAACACTTTTTCTACCATAAAGCTTACTTCGATGTATACAATATAGAACTTTTTCTGAAAAAAAATTTTCTTTAGGAGGTATTTTTTTGATTTTCCCAAGTTTTCCCAGCAAATCTGAAAAACCGGAAAAAACATAAGAAAATCGGTACAATACTAAATAAATATTATTAAAGAAAATAATATAATGCCTATTTAATTATTTTACCATATAATGACATATATATATTTCTAAAAAATCATCACCACCAACTGAACTCCGCTCAGAATCGTTTTTTCGTTAGCAATGGTTTGTATTTATGTATACATTAAATTCCCTTCTGGATTCTACTTTCCTAACTTCCCACCTACAACAGTGGATGCACCCATGTGCAAAGTATGTCCGTCTTTTTTACGTTGAAATCGGTTTTTTCGTCCATTACGTCAGTCAGTTAATATAACTGCGCCATCGAAGTTTTGTTCATGTTTAGAAAGGTGCTTCATCAAAGTTCAGTAGCTTTATTCCACTAATTAATAATTGTCATAACATTTTTACTAAAGGACGTAAAACACACTATTGTTTCGAAAAGTATTTACGTTTTCGATTTTCGACGCGAAATGCTTTAATGTTCGTATATCTCTTAATATTGAAAATATATTAATCAAAAATTATAAATGGCTTATTCTATTGAATACGTGGAGGATTCAAACGTCAAACGAATCAATCGAAATTCTGACATTAAAATATACGATTAATAAATAAATTCTCCGCTGACTATTGCATATTTTCAAACACAGGTACCTTGCAGTTACAGTTACATAAAATGAAAACGCCTTGCATGAATGTGTTTTATTAAGCGCGCTCCTACGCAACTCACGTGACTAAAAAAGTAAGAAATCATAATATTGTTTCCGTAATAATATTTGTGTATTGCTTTTTCGTATCATAATATTCCGTGATATAAACTGTAAAAGTTAACACTTTGACAACCGGTAATTGTACGACCGGCGTTGTGTTACGAAAGTACAAACCATTAAATACATATTTTATAACGCACTAATGTAATAATGCGCTTAATTTGTTTTGCCCCAGTAAACTACAGTCTACAGTGACATGTCATAGAGACAATACGAGTTGTACAGTCCAACGTTTAAGTCATATTCGTCTGGTGTATAAATCTATTTGATGAATTATGTTTTCCGCTTATTGTAGAAAGTATTATTTGTTATTCGCCGGCCGTACGAAAAATTGAAAAAAAAATAAATTGTTAAAACTTAGTATAATTTCTTTGCATTTTTTTTTTTTTTTTTTACTTATTTTGCACATTAACAATTATTTTTGATATGCAGACATTTTTAATATTCCCACGAAAAAACAATCCAAAACGACATTTAATCACTAATACCAAATTCGAAATGAGCACTTAAAGAACTATAATATTATTATTGTAGGCAATTTTAAACATAAAACAATATTAGAAGCGCGCTCTTGTAGAGTATACTTGAACCGTAATATCGAGGCAAATATCTGTAGGGTTTTCACTATCAACAGTATACCCACCAGCACAATAAGTCCTTATTGTTATTCAACAAAATATTTATAATTCGAGTTTACAACTGTAGTCCGGTTATTCGGACATTATTTACATTTGTATTTTAAAGTTTTTAAGTGTACATCTTTATAACAATAACGCGTCAAACGTCGTTGACATTACCAGGGTCGACGGACACAAAAAATTATGTAAATGAAAAACTTACCAAAAATCGAAGAACATTATTTTCAAAAGCGAGATCTGCCTATTTAATTATTTTATCCTAATATGACATATATATTGTTGACAAAGCATCACTATCAACTGAACTGCGCTCAGAATCGTTTTTTCATTAGCAATGGTTTATCGTTGCTTATAAACATGCATTAAGTTACCTATAAAAGTGGGTGCACCCGTCTCCATTGTCCCTGGACGTCTTTTTTATATTCTATATTTTACTAGTTAAATTTAATCAGCGTACAAATGTACAATACTTACCACATTACATCCACCTTCAAGACACTGTTAGCACGCCGACCGACAAATACAAAGACAGATAAAACTGCATTGTCAATTAAAATTACTAATGAGCTAATTGTCAAAAATACCTCAAAAAAACCATATAATAAAAGATACCCTTATCACAGATATTGTCAAATGCTAATGAAAAAAAACCTATTAAACTATTTAATGAAAACAACGACAATAATAACCAGCATGAGTCTCATCATTCAGCACCCATGAATACTTCTATGTATACGTCAACGAAAGTTATACTGTCATCATCTATTTTCATCAACGGCGTAAACCAATATGCAGACCTACTAACCTTACTAGTTTACAAATATACTCGAAAATGATGCAGAGTTCCAAAATGAAAAAGAGGCGTTCTTTTTTACTGACGTAAACTACTTCACCGAAATAGTGGCGAGAACTCATTGTCAATATAATATTCTCATACAAACATTTTTTTTATTGATATAGCGTTATATTTTTTGACTGTAATACACCTGATGATGAATTTCTAATTCGAAACCGGTCGTATAATACACTTATTATAGTACTCTAGGTGACACATTCATTCATTTATTTAGTTTATGTTTATATATACATTTTTTTTTTATTGTATTATTTAACATAAACACGATTACGTCCAGGGGGGAAGAAAGTTCCCACTCTTACCTCTCTTGGCTACGGGCCTGAGTCAAGAGGAAATAAAATTAGATCGTTAATTAATATCCCTAGTTAATGCATTAAGTCAGAACTTTTTATACTTTGAAATAAATCAATGTTTTATGTACATTTTTCTGTACTTACCATGTTATACTTATTGTGTAATATTATTTTTCTAATTGATAACTATATTAAAATAAATACCATTTATGTACTTTAGAATTGTGTGAATAAAATGTTTGAGATCATAATATATATTTATATTATATTTTTTTTATTGTGTATACAAATTTGTTGTACGTAATTTTTTTTAAGTGTATATAATAATAAAAATACGGACGCAAAGGAATATTTTGCACAAACAATGTTGTAATGGAATATTTTTTAATGTACCTATAGTTTAAAACAGTTGCGTTGTATGATACTGTGGATACAATAATAATTAATAGTTGCTTTCGACTTTGGCGAACAGTTTAGGTTATGCAACTTACTGCTACTTATTCTGTGTTCTTCATGTACCGTGCATAACAATATTATATTATGTAGCTAACATTATCGGTTATAATATATCTATAATTATTAGCAATGATGTTTCGAAGACCATTCGGCCCAGCCACCTTTGAAATTGAAAAGCCTGTAACATTAAATTTGATCTCGTTAGATGTATTTACACAAGCTGAATGCGATAGCCGAATACGTATATCTGATTTAATCCGGTTTGGCCATAATTTATTATTAATTGGTTAACTTTAATCAAGTTGGTGCATTAAATACGTTTTTTCCTTTGATTTTCCGAGGGGTTTTTTTAAATAATTTGAAAAACCGTATACAAATTTATAAGAAAACGAAATTTTACGAAAATAATGCTTTTATTGTTTTCGATTTTGTGTTTTTTTCGTTGTGATTCAATTTAAAATATTTGTAGAGACTTGAAATTAGGGACAGAAAACTAATATTTATCTTTTTTAGACGTGGTAAAATTATAAAAACATTTTACCAATTTATGAGATATTTAGAGACATTTCAATTTTGTGAGTGTTTAGGTCATTTTTATTTGATAGGTACACTGTGGATAAAAAAATTGTTTGACCAAGCAGAAATACTTATGAATTTAACAGAAAGTTCATTATAATACTTAGTGGCAAAATAAATTGAGCGCAAATAATTGAGTATTTTCTTTTATACGAGTTTTAATATGAAATTTTAACGAAACTCATGAATAATACGGTCATTCAAAACATGTTTAACCGAAATTCGCTCTGAATCGTTTTTCGTTAGCAATGGTTTATCATTGCTTACAGGTATAAATTAAATAACTATATATAATCTACTTTCCCAACTTTTTATCTACAAAAGTGGCATACACGTCTCCAGTATCAGCTCTTCTTTTCTTTTACAACTAAGTTAAAACTTATAAGCTACTATGAACATAATATTCAATTTTCTGTTAAGCTAATTAATTTTATCTATATAAACCAAATTTTCCACCGACTAGATTCCAAAATGTAACTAAAATATCTCTAGTAATTTTTAATGGAGCCCAATTTGTAAAAAAATTCGTTTAGAGAGAAAAATACCACATCACATAAATTACAGAAAGTAAAACTAATACTTTTCTCGCCACGGTCAGAATCTAAAACAGTTTTTTCACGTAATCGTTTTTTACAATTTTGTGTGTTTGGACATTAATTTTAAACAAAATATTATGTTGACTGTAGAATTTACACAAATATGCAGAATAATAAGTCGTTCTCCTAAAATATTATCTGATTCTGTTAATTTTGATAACAAAGATTTCGAATTCACCGAATTCTACGTAGTCCGTTCACCTTCATGTAGTTTAGTGTCCATTATTTATATTTGTATTTAATATTTACTTCTTAAACTCCAATTTGTGAGCAATTTCAGCTGCATGTTGGCTCCTGTTGCCCCTAGCACAAGAGAACACGATCTCGTCGTGATGTTTATGGGGCTTGCGCACCTTGTACTTTTCCATGAAAACGTGATCGGGTAAACTCAATTCGCGTTCCAAATGGCTAACTGTGAAACGCGAGACAACGTTTGTTAAAATAATTTATTTTTATTTTTTTAAATTTCACTAGAGCTTCCTTAGTAGTCGGGCAATTTGAGGAAAAATGATTGGAAGTCGACAAAAATAAATTCAACTGGGTATAGGGTTGAAATGGTCAATGTATTTAGTATAGGTAATAAAAGGTAACAAGTATAGTTTGGAAATGTAATAAAACTAAGTACTTACACCAAAATTTATTTTATCCAATACTCTATCTATTTATGGAACTTATAATATAGGATGCCATTTGAAAATCAAAAATAGGTATTGGTGGTTTAAACCCCCGAAAATAAGTGACAAAAAATAACATAAATATAAACAATTTTGTGCTTCTTGTTTCTTAAATGTTCTATAAAATAAATGCCGAAAAATTTCAATGCTCTCCGAGATAATGAGTGTAACTACTTAAATGGATCATCTTGTACAACGTTAAAATCTAGTTAAATTGGTTGAAAAAAAATGTTTGGCGATCGGATTATGATTTAATATAATCATTTGGGTTTTTTGGACGTGTATTTATACACAATGATAATTAAAAGTAAGTTTTTTTTATAGTAATTTTTAATTTTATATCATTTCGGAGTACTGAGTGTGAACCTTGCACTACATATTTAAAGTGAAATTTTTTTGAACCATTTATCTAACAAATTCTAACTATTGTTAACAAATATCGAACACGGTACCGTAGATTTTGTTAGATGATTTTATTTTTTCATAGTGCTGGCATATATATATATAACTTAGCACTACAGATCTTTAAAGTTTGATTATTATTGATATTTGTTTTGACAAATTCTATCAATTGTTTAACAATGTCTAATAACACCGCGTAGGGTTTGTTAGACAGGTTTCGTGATGTTTTGCTGTGTGTGTAGTGCCATCTTCAGTCTTCACATAGTTGAATTATACTATCCGTGCTCACGTGTTTTCGTGTTATTCACTTGAATACGCTGTAAAAATACGTTAGTATACCTACGTGTACATGTGAATAATTAGGTACACTAATGTTAACTACACGTGAATACATGAACGCGTATACACGTGAAATAAGTATCTCTACTTTCAACTCCCGTTATGACATACTACCGGATTTTTATGGAAATCAACTGTACATAGAAAGTTACAGAGTTTATACGTTTTGAAGAAAACTAACCAGTTGAATATAGGGCCGTCCTTAAGATTAATCCATTGCCTCTTCCCCCCTCCAAGTACGGGCCTGTTTGTATACACCTATAGTCTAGTCGAATACTCGACGACCAAAATTTGGAAAATATTGGCAATTTTATTATCATAGTGTGGCTCGTAATAAAAAAAAAAAACATCTACCGGATGTTGGACCGGATGAGGACCGAAAGCCGATCGAATGGTAATTCAAGCTTTACTTTTCATTATGAGTACTCGCATGTACCTATGACCGCAATATCCGTTAGTCACAATCACAATACGGACAGTAGGTACCAGTTACCACAATGTGGGTAGTAAAATTGATTTTTTTTTTTTCGGGTGGTTAATTTTCAGACGAAAAGTATACGTCTCAACGTCTTACGTGGGATATTGATGCTGTTTGGTATCGATCCAGTGGCGATGATCTCGTGTTCCTCGCGGACGTCAATTACGAACGTGTTTTTGCCGATCTTCTCCACCAGGTACTCGTAATCGACGTGCTCGTAGTAGGCGCACATTTTTTTACGACCGGTTATGTATTGCGTGAAAACGAAAATAACTGCCGTAGGTACGTTTAAATAATATTATAATATTATACTAATCAAAATAATCGCCAGGTCCACAGTGAACTAATAGAATAATGACAGGACGTTCGAACGCGACACGATAATTTATACGCTACTCGCGGGTAGGGGAAACGACACATAAATATCATTATGATATTTTTTTTTAAATTAATACTCGTCCGTTACTCGTGTGTGTCAATAGCCAAAGCAAATCCCCTCTGACTACACAGTCTATAAGGTACCTGTGAGCACGTCCCGTCGAGCACGTGCGTTCCCAATTCCGAAATCACCCGGCGGCGGTTAATGATTGTGTAATCTTAAAATATTATACTAAATAATAAAATAAATATTATATACAGTGTGAAGCAAATGTTTGTTAACCGTTAGATATTTATGCGGAAAAAACAAAAAACTAAAAAGGTAGGATATATATAATTTTTATTGAAACGCAATAACAACAAATCGTCATTGCTATTATTGGACTAACCAAAAAGGAATTTGAGCACGTAGTTCGGTTATTAACGTGTTTAATGGCACGTCGCGTTTTTTTCGATTTTCATAAAAGTTCGAACTTAAACGTTTATAAAACAAAAATTTCAACATTACGCTCAAATTGTTTTTTTTTTTTTATTTATTTCATTTTTTGTTTTGTTATTTAGTACAACTTATTATAATGATACCGGCTGGTATTAAATTTTCAAAGCGATTGTATACGCAGAAAATCAAATAAACTTCTAAAATTTCAAACGGTTATAAATTGCTGAAAAACCGCCGAAATTTGTTGAAAATATTACCACGTTTAGAAATTGCTAGTTTAAAATTTCAGGTACATACGGTTTATTTTATAAAAATAAAATCGAGAATAACAAAAACCGCTATTGCGTACATTATTCTGTTTTCTTACGTTATGTAATACGTTCTGATTATTAAGAAATGCACCCATATTAATTAGAAGAAAATAATCGCCTTTAGAAAAGAAGTTATACGATCGGTGATTGTAACAAGATTTTTTGAGTTAACATCAGACACACAATAAATAAAAGAGTATTACCAATACCAATACCTACATTCTTCGCTATACGCTCAAAATCTAAAACATTAATTTACCGAACACAAAAAAATAACGTAAACAATTGATATCGATAGTTCTGATTGGATTCTCTTGTTTTAGATTCTGATCGCATCGATGTACGTATCGGGTTAGCTATAATGTGTATTTTTGTGTTGACTGTACCACCAAAAAATATTGCTCAGACTTTTCTGAAAACAAACTGTGTCGATTTGGTGCGTCAGGAAAGTTATTTTTCTATTTTCTTTGCCGTTTTCTTAGTAACTGAGAAAAACGGGAACGTTTAATAACGGTAATAACAATTTCATTATTTTCAATTTTGTTGTTATTTGGTTAAACATAATCGTAGAGATCTGAAATTTCATAGAATTCTAATTATTTTATTATTTTAAAGAATCGACATATTTAAAATATTCTGGGTGTAATTGAGCTAATAACAGGCATTTGACGTTTTTATCGTAAAAATCACGGCATTTCAAAGGACCTACCTATGTTTAACCGAACTTCGCTCAGAATCTTATTTCGTAAGCTTGTAGTATCAGCTCTGTATTTACATAAAAATTCGTTTTTATTATTCAGGTAACTGATAGAAACCAGAAATCAAAATAAACTGACAATAACCTATTTACCGTGCCGATCAGGTTTTATTTTAATACAAAACTGTATTAGCAAAAACTATTCGGCTCTAGAAAAATCGTGCGGGAAATCCGGTGTAAACGTTTCAGAACATTTATACTGCTAGATACCTAACCGATAACAAATGTTTTAAACGAGAAAAACACAAATTTACGATTTTGAATGATACACGACGAACCGAAGAACGGCCCACAGCATTCTCTATAAATTGTCAGGGAATAGAGTTTTGGTTCACCCTGTGTATCTGGTATAACTATAATATTACACAGACGATGGCGTTCCCCGCGTATTTTTTTTTTAATTTACGTCTCGTCCTAAACACATACACAAACTCGCGTATCGATCGCAGCATCTTACATTACGGCCGCAGATTTTATAATGTGATTATTATTACTTGATGCATTGTCGGGATGCGTGGTCTCCTCCGAGTAGTCGCTCCGGATAAAATTATAAAAAAAAAATCTAACCTGACTTTTAAATAATGCGCTGTAATATCGTCGGGAAAATTAGGCGTAAATCACGAATTTTTTTTACAGCGCCCGATGCTGGAACCCGTTGAACCGCGAGCCATCGAAAGTATGACGGTGATTGCGTTTACCTGCAGACACAGTTTCTTATGTGCCACCGCAAATCTTATACAATAGGTAAGTGGGTACCGATTTTTTGTTACGTTATATGATCACGACTAAACCGTAAAACGCGTTTTGTGTACTTGATTTTTGTACTTGGGTTTTGATACGAGAATCGAGTCTTCGGGACTTTTGCGCTTATGAAATAACAGAACAGCAGTGAAAACCACATTAGTCATTGGTTTTATAGTGAAGCGGGGACCGAAAAAATGTCACCGGGATTTATACGGACAGAATAGGCCGCGCGAATCCAATATTTTTGCAGACATATTAAACAGAACCATTTTTCGATTGCGTCAAAATTCGTAACAGATATAAGTAGATTGTGATTTTCGATATGATTTTTTTTTGTCCGTTTGGAATTTTTATCTTAAAACCCAATTGGAATAAATCGGTGCAATAATATCTTTAAAAAAAAAAAATCGAAATCGACATTAGGCAGACAAACTTTATACCGTTACATATCGTGATGATTTTTTTTAGGGGCGCCATTTGGGCCCTGTCCACTTTGAAATTTCGCGGACAGCAGAAATTATATTCGTATATATTGCTGACCATGATAGTATACAAATTTTACTTTGTACAATTTATTATGTACATATTTTATTATCTATGTTTCTATAATCTTACACACGATGAGCTAATAATAATATTATCGTGTTTCTATTGTCTAATTATATGTATTATACGGACTAGAAAAATGTATGAGTACTCAAAAAAACTGTTTGGAAAACTCGACAGACAATCGACTGTGCAGAAAGAAATCGAGTAATAGTGATAATAGATAATTTTTTTTTTATAAACGTCGTCAGTATTTTTGCAAGTATTATTTTTTTGATACTTCAAGCACATATTTATATTGTCGTGATTGGCAATAATTGATACGACAATAAGTGTTATGCGTTTGCACAGCCAAGTACCAATTAAAGACTATCCTCACTTTATCTGAAATTCAAAACTCACCCGTCAGTTGAAAAGGTAAAAAACACAGAACGCCAATAGTAGTTAGTATACGTAACACGTTTTGTTTTAATTTTTTTAACACTTTAGGTAATATATACAAAAAAAAAAAAGCTAATCCATAAAAAATAATTTAACCAATTTCATTTGTTTACAACTTTAAATTATTTAACGTTTTCATTTTTCGTTCATAATAATAAAATTATAATTATTTTATTCTATATTATTCTAATACAATATCAACTTATTATTAGTAAATGTTTGATTACATTCAATTATTTGCATTAATAATTAATATCAATTGTGTATTATGTTTAAATTTTAATATTACGATATTACTAGTAAATCAATTTTAAAAAAGCATGGATTGATATTTAATCGCACATTATTCCATTCTGAATGCAAATTGCTACATTCTATATTTCTATATATGTCTACCTAACTGGTTATAGTAAATTATGCATTGCATTAGTCAACTAATTAATACATTTCTCAACGTTCAAGTCAGCTTAAAAAAAAAAAAAAGTTAAAACTTGATAGTTGCCTTATGCCAATTATTAACATTATATGTTCTAAAAACTTCTAATCATACAAATATAATTATACTATACACCTACTGCACATTTGATTATGATGATAAATATTATCGTAACACTGTCCAAAATTTCTCGGTTTACGGCTGTAAAATTGTTTATATAGGTACTGATAACATTTAAAAAAAAAAAAAAAAAGGCCCGAAAGGTAATTACAGAACGATAACAGATAAATACAACACAGTTAATTTGTTTTAGTGATGCTAGTCACGTATAAAGTAAATGTTTTACTGTAAATGTATAAGAGATAATAAAAATTTAACATTCAAATCCCTACCTAATCAGTTGTGGATTATGAATATTATTATTTTATGGGTTTATATTTTAACTACCCATATCGTAAATTTGACTGAAAACCTACAGTTAACAATATAGCACGGGCACAGATATTACATATTAATTCGATTTCTATCATTTCGCTGTATACCTATTTCCTAGATAACATTATATGTGTACACAATATTATAAATTGGATTAGTATAAAGAACACAGTTAGTATTTAAATGTATGTTAGTGTCAATCCGTTAAGTATTTGGAATTTGGTTTCTTTTACGAAGGCTGCATACCAGGTACATTTACAATATTATCTTAATAGGTGTGGGTGTTGTTAAGAAAATATATGTATATATAAATATATTTTTTTTAATCAAATTAAATCTAATGTTTTAACATTATGATTGTAGTTAACATGATTGTTAACTGATAACAATGATTGTTCACTATATTTTAACTATTGGTAATTTCAAAAAATGTTTTAAATCAAATTTTTACTAACCAAAAAAGTGTTTTACGACAAAATAATACAAACATTTTAAAATTAAACAATTAACACTTTAAATCTAGACTAATATCAGAGTGAGATCAAGATCCACCTTGGGTAGTATTAAATAATAGTTTTTACGTTATTGAAATTTTAAAATAAAACGGACTACCAGAAAAAAAACCATTATCATAGTGATATCATAGCATATCGTAGTAATAAGACATACATCCTGCATTTTATCATGAAAACAAAATAGTTAGTGAATTCTTAGCATTATGTTCTAAGTATTTACTTAAAATTTACTTTATTAAGTAAATTATAACAATTTTTTGTGAATACGATACCGTTGAAAATTCTAATGTTTTACTAAAGAAAGTATATACTAAGTTTAAATAAAGTGTGATCTATAAATATGGCTATAAGAAAAAATTATTCGTTTCAAGGAATAAATAAAATACTTTTTAAAAATATTCGGAATACTACCCATGTCTGTATATATAATATTATAAATTTATAACATACTTATACCAGCCATACCAGGTGACCTTTAATTATTTTATTTAGTCCCTCCTTTCCAAAAATAAAAGTTCTGAGTATGCCCTTTGTCAATATTATTGGCTTTAAAAATGACAATTTCATTAAAAGTTAATCCACAGTTCCCCAACTTATAATAATACCTACTAAAACTATATTATACCTATACTAATATGAAAATTGTCTACGAGTATTACATTAATGTATCTATGTATGACTTATACGTATATTATTTATACTTGAATTAATCAACTATAAGTATTATTCATATTTGTTTTAATTTATCTTATAGAATTTTTAAGTTTGTAGGAACCGTGTGTAAATAATATAGTCGGCAACCCAGATAATTGTGTCGGTAGATACTTGAAAATAAAAATTTACGATATAAGGTCTCTACGATATCGATATCTGTCTACCGTTATTTTATATTGTTTTTCGTATGCACATTTCATCACAATATTATTATAATGCGTGTACCTACCAAAGTATAATCAGTGTTTTGTTTACAAGAATACGGAGACGGGGTTTCGTATATAGACGGCCTTACATCCTATAATGTTAATGAGCACTACAGATACTATTAATATATTGAATTTTAGACCAGAAGTCTTGCTCCGAACAAAAACTTTATCCGTGTATTAGAATATTTCTTGCTGAATTTTGGATCTAGTTTGTATGTACTATTTAATATTATTATTAAATCTTGGAGATCGGAAATGCTTTCGCGAATATCGCGAATACCAATACCTGCAATTCGTTCATATTTCACATCTAATATAGTATCACGGTAGGACACTATATTAGGAGGAAAGAGAGACAAAAAATGCTTGAACATTGCGGGTATTTTGTACATGGTCACTACGCTCCTCGTAATAATAGTCTACTCACGGGTAGGCCAAGTAAGTAGCAATTTTGAAAGATACTGTATTATATAGGATGACTTCATTTATATCTATCAACAACGATTATAAACCATTGCTAAAAACAATTCTGAGCAGTGTTTGATTAATCATGTTTCGATTATCTTAATGAACTGAAAATTATATTGATTTGTACCAAACTACAAAATAAATTAAAATTGACTATGTTTTTAGTCTTATATTTTTATAAAGCCAAAGCAGTTTTATTAGGTAATTAAAAATACTACGTAAAAAAGCTGTGATTTTTACGACTTTCATCAAAATTTGAACTTTATAAACCCTTATAAATATTCAAAATAAGAAAAAAATTAGCTATGGATTTTTTATATTTGTATAGCTCTATTAAAACACCTATTATGATGTACTTTGTATGAAGTTTTCAAGTATTTTGAAAAACCAAACAAAATTCTATTCGCATAAAATATAATAAAAAATTTTAAATAATTATAAATAGGTGTAGCTCAAAAATCGCCATAATATTATGCAAATTGAATTGCGTATAGAAAGATCTAATAGGGGTATTCAGTTAGTATTTCAGAACTTTACAGGTATGTTTAACTTAATTACAACGAAAAAAAAAAATCAAAAATAACAAAAATCGTCTGGCTTAAATATTTTCTCCCCCAATTAAAAAGATAACTTTAGGGAAAATAAAAAAAATAAAAATATCAAATATACAAAATTAATAAAATTTGCTACAAAAATACTATTGTCGGTTTTCGATTGGCGCACAATTTCTTATAAAAAAAATTTTGAATGGATAAAAAATATATAAAAAATACATCATATAGTAAAACTAATCTCGCTACGCTCAATATATATAAACATAAGACAATGTGGAGGCCAAGTATACTAAATGTTGAAACTTTTAAAAATTACAAACAATTTAAATTATTTTGTTATAGTTAATGGTAAATGAAATTTTAAATTTATAATATAAATATTACCAAATTCCACTCAAAATCAAAAATGTTTACGATGATTTATCGTTACCTAATATGCTCTTACCTATTCGTCACATCCTGTTATGCATGAGTTTAATTACGTAATATTATATTTTTATTTAATGAATAATTTTCAAGATAAAGAGATTTTAGCAAATAATAATTATACTACTATTGTCAATCGGCGAACTAAGATTAAATTTACAAGTGTGAAAATGAACACAAAATGCAAATACACAGGTGTTTTGAAAACAAGACTGATGGCATGGATACCACAGCCCAATAATTAGGTACAATCATAAGGTACACAATAGTCATGATTAAACAAATTTTTTTTTTTTTATTGTTGAAATCACTCAAACTTGAACTAAAATATAATGAATGATTTTACACTAGAAAAAATCGATATCCAATAATTATTACAATCGAACATGATCGTGCATAATTGTACCGAAATTAAAAGTATATTACAAATCTATGCATAGATACTAGCAAATTGGCGAATCCGTACAATAATGCCGGTAGTGATGGAATTTAAAGTTATTTAGATGTTTTTTATGAAGATAATACAACGAATGATACACTGCTCCCGAGTCAACATTTTTAACGACGACGTGGACAAATAACAACAACAATAATTAAGCCACGAACGTCAAATATCAATTATCTCATTATATTTGTAAAAAAGAACATATGTACACACATAATAACTATATAATAGTGTTAAATATAGATAAATGTTTCAACCGCAGGTATACAAACACGGTTTATTATATGCAGATAGGTATACATTGTTAACAAACGAACCAACGTCTGTTAACCGTTTGGATAGATAACCTGACCTAGGTAATACTCAATAATTTACTCAAAAATAATGCTATTCGAGGGGGAAATAAAATCGCGTTTACTGGTTTACGTGAACGTATAATTTTATTAGGAATGGGAATTTCTTACGGTGACGTAAATACCCGCAGTAAAATATGGTATCGTTTAAAAAATAAAAAAGTATTTTTTTTTTTTTTCAGTACGAAGTGAATGTAAAATGAGCGAAACCGAAGGAAAATTCAATATCGTGCCGATGGCTCCGGACGACAAACCGATTATCGTTGGATTTATAAAAGAATTCTTTTTCCGCCGTGAACCCTTGGTAGTGAGTTCAAAGATATCGGAAGACGCGGAATCGATGGAAAAACTCGAAACCTTTGGTTTGAGAGCATTGGATACCGGTGAGGTTACAAAAATACAATATTACTTGAATATGGAAAAATTATTTTTATATTAACCTTTGAAAATTATACTCCAGTCACAAGTAGGTCACATGTGACTTTTAGGAATCGCCTGGTCGAATTATGGTGTCAGATGTGGTGAGATTTACAATTTGTCAAAAAGTGTATAATTGTATATTATATGCTTTTCATGTTTCTGGTGCCAATTTTTACTTGGTATACTATACATACGCGCTGATTCGCGGGAAAAAATTGCGAATTTTAAAATTAATTACTTTAAACATTGTTTTGGATTCTGAGTGAAACAAGTATTTAATCGAACGACTGAATTACACACTGATTAGAAATATCGTGGGAAAATATTTATTTATTGAATACATTGAATAACATTGAATGTATAATTTTTATTTTGTGATGACGATAAATTAATTCTATCTACCGAATTCTTAAAATTAAATGTACTGGTGAATAATGAAATGTGTAAATGTTCGAAGCATATTCATAATTTTGCTCATTGTTGATAATGATGTTTACGTGTTTTGGAGGTTCGGCAAGGGAGTTAACAGCGATTTAGTTTTATTTCTACCACTTCCTCCCTGCAGGTTTTACTATTCATAATTTTCAATTTGAAATTATTCTGATCAATTCTGACGTTGATATTATTATCGTATCTGTTTTAAATAATACGATTTTCGAGCAAAAGTTATGTAAGCAATTTAAGTTACCATAACTACAAATATTATGGTCTATGTGTATTAAGTGGTTATCAAAATAATAATAAGCATATATAATATTATTCTGATCGTCATAATTTTTGCAGGGATTGTTTTTAAAGCGGTGTCCGACAACGGGGATTTGATGGGCGTGATTTTGAACGAAATAATAACCAGAGATGGCACGGAACATAATAATGATGACGACAACCACCAGCACCAAGAGGACAGCGTCAGTTTTAAAAAGTTCAGGAATCTTTTCCAAAAAGCCAAACGAGAGTCCGACATTTTCGGAAAGTATCCTGAAGTAGAACGTATAATGCATATAAAAATTGTCGCCGTGGATGACGCGTTTAAGGGCCGAGGAGTGTGCACGGCTCTTTTCGATAAAACTAAGTAAAATATATTATTTTATAATATATTTGCAAATCATATTGGGTTTTCGCTATCTATCCGATAATAATATTATAGGTACCTATTAATAAGGATGACATAATACGAATCACAATTATTACGTATAGGTTAGACTAGGTTATAATTAGAGATGTTACGAACCCTTTTTTTTTTTTTGGTCAAACCGAATCGAATCGACCTTTTAAAATATTTTATCGAACTAGAACTCAAAATAATAATTGCGGGTTAGTTTAGGTTAAAAACCTAGGTGCTCAGACTATTCGGCTCCACGATTTACGATTATGAGACCCACTAATATGAAAATTATAACATTTTTCTCTTTTGTAACTAGGTCGCTTTGTCACGCCACAAAACATCGTATTGGTGACATTACAGAATCAGCATCGAATGATTTTCGAACCGAGCTATTGGTTATTTGGTCTAGTTCGATTATTTGAAATATTCATTTTGATTTTCGAACCAAATCGTACATCTCGAGTTCGGTTTGTTTCGATTTGAAACTCAAATAGTTCATACATCTCTATTTATAATAATTATGTTTAAGTACATGTATTTCTTAAAAAGTATTTATTAAAACTTTTAGGAGTTTGGAGAATTTTACTTATCAATAAACACAGAATTTGGCATCGCGACCTTAAAAATACAACACCTAACTAGCTACACTATTATGAGCACAAAAATAAATTTAAAATAAATGCATACGAGAAACGATTTCTGTCCAAAATTCGTCGAACCGCAGGTTTTAACTAATTATAATAGTTTTAAAACTTAAAAATTAATTAGAAAAAAGTTTTAAAAATTCAAAATTAATTTATGAGTCCGCCCTTCTATCTAAACGTAAAAATATATGACTTCGAGATACTATGTTGTAAACCGTATTCTAAATTTTGATTTCCGTCATCTTAAACTGCGTATTGGTACCGTCATTTTACAATAATTCTCTAGATAAACTATATTTAGTTTGTAGGAATATGTTGCAAATAAAATATGACGTATTTATCGCGTAAATTTCGTATCTTTTAATGTTAAAAATTTGGTGAAAAAATTAAAGTATTACCCGAACAAGAATAATCGCACAAGCATTAAAAAAGTAATATTTTAATAGCCGGTTTTATTTTTATTCGGGTTCCAGAGAATTGGCGTTGGAAAACCAATGTCCCATGGTCCACGTGGAATGCAGTAGTCATTTTTCGGCAGCCGCGGCGAAGAAACTTGGGTATCAGTGTATATATTTCTTGCGCTACAAAGAATTTAAAGACGAAGACGGCCAAGCGATGTTCACCCCGCCGCCACCTCACGAACAATTTAAAGTCCTTGTACTACCCGTTTAAAGAATTCTTAGACCGAAAGAAATTTCTAACTGAATCGCTGTGAAAATACTTACTATCGATTGTATTTCATGAAATTCCTGTGGAAATTAATGTTTTTTGTTTAAATATTGTTCATATTTTGTTTGTTTATAAATACATAAAAACTTCGATTATTTTTTGACTAGGTGTAAAACGGTATATAGCCGTATAAAACTTATATATTAGCTAGGGATAGTACCTTCTTGTTATAAAAAAAACTTAAAACGTAGTTTATTGCATGCATGTTTTATGCGTTTACATGCTGGTAATCATTATTTCCGTAAACTTTCTCATTGTTCTTAATGTTCTTATGTTTATTCCCAATGTTGCACAACTAAATAGGCAAATTGACGAAAAATCAAAATACGACTTAATTATTCAATAACTATATCCAAATGCAACAATGATACGTCTTATTTTTCCGTAGGAATAATAATTGCGATTTTAAAATAAAATGATTTATTGATGTTCTCACTCCAATACTATCACTCCTTCTTAGAAACTTGTTAGGGTCAATGATTCATTTGTACTACAAGTGCCTTCACGTTTTCATTTTTCATAAATAATTAATAATTACATGTTTAATTTATTATTCTAATACAATATTGATTTAGTATCAGTAATTTTTGTATTACATTTAATTATTTTTCATTAATAATGAAATTATTTCATTAATAATGGTATCAATTGTATATTAGTTTTAAATTGTATTATTACCATATTATTAGTAAAAAAAAAATAAAAACAGCATACGTTAATATTTGCCACTGTAATTATAAAGAATATACTAATAACACGGATTAGATATCATTTTTAGTAGGTACGCTATTATAATTATAATATTATACTACCTGCTGTGAATTTTATCAAATGAAAATGCTATCTAGAGTTAATATTCTTAAAAATATTATAAATTATTGCTATCGATAAGTATTTTCAAGCAATGTTTGATTAATCATGTTTTGATGATCTTAATAAACTGAAAATGCATTAAGATTTATAATATAATATAAAATTTGTACTAAACATTGTAACCATTCGATTAATACGCGTTAACAACGAGAATTGTTTTTTCGTTAGTAATGGTTTATCGTTGCTTACCGATACATATTAAATTACCCTCTACATCCTACATTCCCAACTTCTCACCAACAACAGTGGCCGCACCCATCGTGCAAAACATGCCCGTCTTTTTTTTACGTAAATATATTACCAATCTGTAATTTGTCAGATTTTCAATAAAAGTTTAGAACTACTCGCATACATTTGAATTAATAGTACTATGTAGATTTTACATTGTAGAAATAATGATAGTATTTAAAAGAACAAATTATTTACCAAAGCTGTAACAAAATATGATCAAAATATTATTCTAATAACGATGAGCTGCTACATATTTTGATTGTAAAATCGCTGAATAATAATATAATAATATACGTTCAACAATGTATGTACCTACAATAGATTTACGGATTAATTATGTCCATATATAAAGTGCACTGAACTCCTGCAATAGGACCAATTAGTATAACATTTGTTTTTCATCGTCAACGAACGAAACGATACAAATATAATAACGTGCGGTTGGTATCTATTTTATGCACATTGATACATACTTTATAAACATTATAGGCGTAACAATAAGCCCGACGACTACAGTTAAGCGCATGGTATTCGTGCCGCCAAACGGAACGAGAGATTAATTACCAAGGTCCACTTTATCAATTTCCAGATAAAATAACAATTAAGTACCTTGAAGATAACCCTGACAATAAGTTACATCTGATGTTGAATTTCTGAATGACTTATTAACTATAATGTAGTTGTCCAGAATATGTGGATTTTATCAGAAAGATTATACAATCCTCCATAGAATATATCATTTTTATGTTGTGATAAAGGCGAATTAATTTTATTAACGAAATTTTAAATTTTAAATGTATTGGTGAATACTGAACAGTGTATCAGTGCGGTAGTTCTTATTTTATTTAATATTTTCATTTGTTAATTTCAATAAGTATGACTCAGAAAGAGAGAAAGTAATTTTACAAACACTTAAGTTAATTTATTGTTACATTTAAAATCCATGCAGAATTTAATTCAACAATTGATAAGCGTTTCTAGAGAGAATAAAATTCTACTAAGATTATGATTATATTTTATACAAAAAAATCATAAATTAACTAAGATGGTAAAAAACATAATGTAAAATTATCAAATAATGATACTGTTGTGATTACAAAGAAAAAATAAACATAATTAGGAATTAATTTCATTGTGAAATTATAATGAATTTTAAAGTTACACTACACACGAATCGGCATTTTTAACGACGGCGTGCACAAATAACAACACAAATAATTAAGCCGCAAACGTCAGTTATCAATTATCTCATTATATTTGAAAAAAAAAGAACTTACGTACACATATAATAATTACATAATAGTGTTACTTTAGATAAGAGTATTCAACCGCAGGTATATAAACACGGGTTATTATATGCAGGTAGGTATACAATATTAACAAACGAACCAACGTCCGTTAACCGTTTGGATAGATAACCTGACCTAGGTAATACTCAAAAATTTACTATAAAATAATGTTATTCGAGGGGAAATAAAATCACGTTTACAGATGTACGTGAACGTATAATTTTATTGGGGATTTGAATTTCATACGGTGACATATAAACCCGCAGTAAAATATTGTATCATTTATAAAAAACAAACGTATTTTTATTTTTCAATGCGAAGTGAATGTAAAATGAGCAAAGCCGAAGGAAAATTCAATATCGTGCCGATGGCTCCGGACGACAAACCGATAATCGTTGGATTTATAAAAGAATTATTTTTCCGCCGTGAACCCTTGATAGTGAATTCAAAGATATCGGAAGACGTGGAATCGATGGAAAAACTCGAAACCTATGGTTTGAGAACATTGGATACCGGTGAGGTTACAAAAATACAATTGATATTACTTGACTATGGAAAAATTATTTTTATATTTAACTTTGAAAATTATACTCCAGTCATAAGTAAGTCACATGTGACTTTTAGGAATCACCTGGTCGAATTATGGTGTCAGGTGTGGTGAGATTTACAATTTGTCAAAAAGTGTATAATTGTATATTATATGCTTTTCATGTTTCTGGTGCCAATTTTTACTTGGTATACTATACATACGCGCTGATTCGCGGGGAAAAATTGCGAATTTTAAAATTAATTACTTTAAACATTGTTTTGGATTCTGAGTGAAACAAGTATTTAATCGAACGACTGAATTACACACTGATTAGAAATATCGTGGGAAAATATTTATTGTTTTCAATATTTTTAGATTTAATGTTGTTTTTGGTTTCTGTTTTTTTTTTTAAATATTAATCATTGAACAATGTGTTCTGAAATATTCTAAATTTACATAGTCCTATACAAATACGAGTAGGTTATATAATATCTACCAACAATAATAATACATGATAAAATTAGTAATTTAGTGTTTTAGTTACTGATCGTTGCAAGGAATGTGTCGGTTTTACTATGTTTGTTTTTTTTTTTTTATAAACAACATTTGTACTAGACATTTTGTTCTGATATCCGAGTTAAGTAAATTTTATCCAGGTGGTTCTTTAAAAAGATCTTTTTTTAATTTTCCAAGCTGTTTTCATAATAATTGCCGGGAAAAAATATGGAAGTGTACGAAATGTACCCACATAAAAAAATTGTATTTTCAAAATGTCTTTTAGAAATCGTAAATTGTGTTAATTATATTAGAGAATCATCTTTCTACGATTTAAAAACATTATTGACTACTGAGGTACACTTGTTCAATTTCCAGTTCAATGAACAGTTAAGTAGCTTGACGATAACACTGAATATAAGTTATATCTGAGCTTCAATTTCTAAATGACTTTTTAACTATAAGGAAGTTAACTTGAATATGTTGATTTTATCAAAGAAGATTGACTATTCCTCCATTGAATATATAATTTGTATTTTGTGATGACGATAAAGTAATTCTATCAACCGAATTCTTAATTTTAAATGTACTGGTAAATAATGAACTGTGTAACAGTGCAGTACTTCTTATTTTATTCAGTTTTTTCGTTTGTTAATACCAAAAATGTATGACTGAGAAAGAAAGAAAGTAATTTTGCAAACACTAAAGTTAATTTACTGTTGCATTTAAAATCCATGCGAAATTTAATTCAACAACTGATGAGCGTTTCTAGAAAGAATAAAATCCTAGTTATGTTATGATTATATTTTATACAAAAATATCATTAATTCACTATAATAGTAAAAAACATAATATAAAAATATCAAATAATGATACTGTTGTGATTACTAAGAATAAATAAGCATATAAAACTTAATTTTATTGTTTGAAAAATATTTATTTGTATTCAAGTATTTAAAAATAAGGAATAAGTACTTAAAAAAGTACATTACTTTAAGTATCTACGCATAATAAACTCAATAATTTCTTCGTCATCATCAGTAATAATTCTATTTGAAATTGAAGTCATTATTATTTATTATGACGATAATTATAAATTAAAACCTATTCTAACGAGGTAAATACTTCTAGTTAAAAGATTATCCGGTACGATTTGTACCGAATAAGTTATTCGGCACTTTATGTGGTAGAAAGTGCTGACTAGCAGTTGAAAATTTTACGAATTATATATAACCATCAACTCCTGCTATCTGGCAGCTACGTTTCCTTAACCAGAAATTGATAAAGTGGAACTAAGTGATTCTACTGATTATACTTGTGATAATATAGATAAAGGTGTAATTGTGTGAGAGAGAACAAGTCTTTTCACCATAACAGCCAATTTACACACTCCATCTAATTTATTCAATCAGACATCTATTTATTAAACAACAAAACCATAAAAGTTCGAAGCATATTCATAATTTTCTCATTGTTGATAATGATGTTTACGTGTTTTGGAGGCGCGACAAGGGAGTTAACAGCGATTTAGTTTGATTTCTACCACTTCCTCCCTGCAGGTTTTACTATTCATAATTTTCAATTTGAAATTATTCTGACGTTGATATTATTATCGTATCTGTTTTAAATAATACGATTTTCGAGCAAAAGTTATGTAATTTAAGTTACCATAACTACAAATATTATGGTCTATGTGTATTAAGTGGTTATCAAAATAATAATAAGCATATATAATATTATTCTGATCGTCATAATTTTTGCAGGGATTGTTTTTAAAGCGGTGTCCGNAGAGGACAGCGTCAGTTTTAAAAAGTTCAGGAATCTTTTCCAAAAAGCCAAACGAGAGTCCGACATTTTCGGAAAGTATCCTGAAGTAGAACGTATAATGCATATAAAAATTGTCGCCGTGGATGACGCGTTTAAGGGCCGAGGAGTGTGCACGGCTCTTTTCGATAAAACTAAGTAAAATATATTATTTTATAATATAGCTTTTTTTTCAGATTTATAAGAAATATATGAAGAGTAATGTACTATTTAGATTACCTAATTTGATAAACAAATTTAAATCATAACTTTAAAAAGGGGAAATATTAAATAGTTGTTTATAGAAAAGAAAAATCAAGTATCTTTAAACATCATACATATTATCCAAAATTATTATATCAAATTATAGCTGTCTTAATAGGTTACAGGTGAATTTACTACGTTAGCAATACAAAAATTGCAAACTATTCTAAACGAATTTCTCTCGTATAGTCGGTTGTCAAATCCTTAAAATCCGTAAAATCTTATTTTTTAGGAGGAATTAAGAGCTCTTTCATTTATTTTAAACGTAGTTCATCAACATAGAAATTTAAATACAGTTTAATATTAAATTTATTATCACCAATAGTGAACTTATTAAGGAATTGTGGTAACTTTTTGTCATTATTTGATTGATTTATATATATATATAATTATTATTATTATTAAACCATTATTTAGAAATCAGCGTAACTACTATGCACTCATCTGAAAAATATGAACTGTAGTCAGGTTGTAGGCAAATGTGTCTAATAAAATATGGCGTATCTTATTGTAAGATTAAAAATTTGGTAAAAAAATGAAGTTATTAAACGATCAAAAATAATCGCACGAGCGTTAAAAAGTCCTATTGTAATGGTCGGTTTTATTTCATTCGAATTACAGAGAATTGGCGTTGGAAAACCAATGTCCCGTGGTCCACGTGGAGTGCAGTAGCCGTTTTTCGGCAGCTGCTGCGATGAGACTCGGATATCGGTGTATATATTCCTTGAACTACAAAAAATTTAAGAACGAAGACGGCCAAACGGTGTTTAACCCACAACCACCTCACGAAGAATATCAAGTCCTCATATTGGACATTTAAAGACGTCTTAGATGGAAAGAAATTTCAAACCGAATCACTATGAACATACTTTTTACCGATTGTATTTCATGAAATTCGTATGAAAACAATTGTTTTTTGTTTAAAAATATATAATAACTACGATTTTTGAAGACGAGGTATATAGCCGTATGATACCCATATCGATTTCTTATAAAAAAAATAACATTAAAGCCTAATTTATTTCATGTTATCCGCGTTTATGTACCGATAATAGTAATAATGTATTTGAGTTTAGTTAACGAAAGAGTCAAAGCATCATCAATTGGTATTAGCTTGCATTCGATTTTAGAATTTAAAATTGTATTTACAATAATTATATTGAACTTTCTTTCCGTGCTGTTTGCCCGTGCGCGTTATTTAATGGAAAACAAGTTTTCTGTGGAAATATCATATCTCTACGTATATTTTCAACCGAGTTACAACAAAAAAATAATGAAACAATATTTTTATAAACTTTCTCATTGGTATATGTTTATGCCAATGTTCCCCAACTATAAAGACAATTTTAAGAAAAATTGTTTTGATTTTTCGTCAAATTTTCTTCGACTTAATTATTCACCAATTTTTTCAAAATGCAACAATTATTGTCTTATTTTCTCATAGGATAAGTGTGGTTTTCGAATAAAATGATTTATTGATACTCTAACACCAATATTATCACTCCTTATATCTGAGCCTGGATCTTTAAGCCGATCAAGGTAAGTGACAATAATATTTACAAAGTCATACTTTTAATGGGAAAATTTAGGACATTGTTTTAGGGTCAATAATAACTTTGTACAACAACTGCCTTCACGTTTTCATATTTCATTAATAATACATAGTAAAGTCTTTATAACGAAATTCGTTACGGCGAAAAACTCTATAGAATATAAATAGTACATTATATTGGTTGGTTTGATAAAAAACTTATCAATAAATTCACTTTTTATAGTATATTAGCATATTAGTTACTCTCAATAACGAAACAATATTTCATGTTTCATAATACAGTTTCTGTGTTATCGTATTATAATAAAATGTACAAATTCTGAAGTTTCCAGATTATACTCGTTTATCTACTTTTATCATTGTAATAATTCGATTAACAACGTAACATCAAACATTAAACGCATGATCACAGTAGTGCGCTTATAGTGCTTATAACAGTTGTTAGACATGTAAAATAAAATCACTTTTTGATGATCAAATAATAATGTGTATGATAAATAATAATACATACATTGGTACGTACTTTTATACAAAAATATTTTAAATGTTGTTTTTTTTTAAACCCTGTCTCTATTACGAAAAGTCTCAAAAAAGAAATCTCTTGTTCCCTTCGGATTTGTTATAGTACGAGGTCTAACCAATAAGTAATGAGACTATTTCAATAAAATACGTATATTTAAATATTAAGATACATCGATGTGATCCCCTTCAAAGTACTCCCCTCCCACCACTATACACTGGTTCCGACGTTTTTTCCAGCTCTTATTGGTCAGACCTTGTAAGTTTTTACGGATATTAAATTTACCTGTTTTATATTTTTCTAATTTATTTATTATTAATAAATATTTTGTTTTATTTAATTGCATTAATTTTATTAATAATGGTACAGATTGTATATAATGTAAAAATTGTATTACTACGATATTATCAGTAAAAAAAAAAAAATAAAAACAGCATAGGTACTTTGATAAATGACTATTCATCATGACACTCTAAAATATGTAAAGAATATACCAATAACACGGATAGGCATATCATTTTTAGTAAATACTAGCGTATTATTATAATTTGTAATATTATACTACCTACCTACTGTACATTTTATGGAATAAAAATGGTCTTTGTCTAGTCTTTGTACTTAAAATATAATATTGTATCATTTAAAGATCGGAAGTGAATTGTTTTCGTTATAGCGCTAAGTGTATATAAAATGAGTGAAACCGACGGAAAATACGATATCATGCCGATGAATCCGGATGACAAACCTACCGTCGTTCAATTTTTAAAAGAATTTTTTTTCCGACGTGGACCGCTGCTTATGAGCTCAAAGTTATGGGAAGACGCGGAAACGATGGACAAACTCACAACCCACCGCTTGAGAATATTGGATACCGGTGAACATAAAATAATATAATTAATATTACCTACATACCTATAGTAATAGTTTTAAGTTCGAAACGAAGCAAGGAATGTATTAGGTTATACAACGATGTTTATTTTTAATTTTAATTTTTTTATCTGGGAACCGCTTTTTTCCTATAAATCTTGTTTCCATTTTCAAGTATAGTACCTTTTGAAAGGAAATTTTATCTGGGTGGTGCATTAAAGACGTCATTTTTCAGATTTTCCAAGTAATTTTTAAAATAATTGGGAAAGCCGGAAAGAGACAAAAAATAAGAAACGAACTAATTTACGGCATACTTTTTCAATATTATCAATTTCCACGCACGGCGTTTTCTACTAGAAATATCATTAATACAAACAACAAATGACCTTTATTGATGAATTTTTAATGTGGGTAAGAAAATCATTTTTTTTTTCTACAGATTTTTGAATAATTGAGCAAAACCAAAAAAACTTAGAAAGAACTAGACAACTTACGAAAATAATTCTTTATTTTCAATTTTGCATTTTGTTGTAATTCAGTTAAAAATAGGTATTCATATAGACTTGATATTTTAACATAAAACTATTTTATTTTTCTAGGCACAACAAAACTTTGAAAGCATTTAAACTATATTTACGTCATTTGTATTTAGTAAATAGTATGTAGTATGTGGATAAAATTATAAGGCTAAACAGAAATGCTTGAAAATTTGACAGGAGGTTCATTATAATTCGTACTTAGTGGTAAAAAAAATGTGTGTACATAGCTGTTTTTTTTTTTCATTAGAATTTTAAAATCAAATTTCGACGAAAATCGTAAATATTGCTTAAAAATATATATTAAATAACTTTGTGTATCCTATCTTTCCGACTTCTCACCTATACAGCAATGGCACACCAGTCTCTAATGATTTAAAAGGAGTAATAGATGTTCGAATCCAATTTATAATTTCACTCAATGCTGAAAATTACGTTTCACGAGTTTTGGAGTTGGGACAAGTAAGTCGACAGCAATTTAGTCTAATTTCGACTACTTCGTCCCTGCAGGTTATAGTATTTATAATTTTTAATTTGAAATCTTTCTGATGTATTATTATCGTAGCTTTTTTTAAATAATACGATTCTCAAACATAGGTTATATCACAATCATTAAAGTAAGTTACCATAATCATAGAATATAATGGTCTATGATCAAAAAAATTATAAGCATACATAATATTATTATGATCATCTTTATTTTTTCAGGAATCGTTTTCAAAGCGGTGTCCACCAACGGGGATTTGATGGGCGTGATTTTGAACGAAATAATAACCAGAGATTGTGTGGGGCTTGATGACGACGAAGACAGCCGCCGGCTTCAAGAGAAGAGCGTGAATTTTAAAAAACTCATGAATTTTTACAAAAAAATCGATCGAGAGTCCGACGTTTTCGGAAAATATCCCGAAGTGAACCGCATAATGCACATAAATTTGGTCGCCGTAGATGATACGTTCAAGCGTCGAGGAGTGTGCACTGCTCTTTTCGATAAAACCAAGTAAATATTATTTAATAATATGGTTGCAATTCATTTTGGATGTCGCTACCTTTTCGATAATAATTTAATAGGTACCTAATAATAAGGATGACATCATGATATTATGAATCACAATTATTACATATAGGTTAGGTAAAGTTATACATTTATAATCATAATTACAACTATAATCACAACTAGGGAATGCTAGAGAGTCTTTAACACACCCAAAATATCCAATATGTTTTTTTATAGTAATGATTAAATATTTTATCCATAATTAAAACACGCGATTGGATTGATGTCATATTATCTGATCAAAATCCTTGTCAAGTATGATTGAATCAAAACAAATAAAAATGTACATACAAATGCGATTCAGAGTAACTTAAAAAATTGTTATATTCTACATTTTAACCACTTCTTTACTTATTTTATTACAAAAAATCTCATTTGAGTATCTTTTATTTAATAATAGTCAAATCTTAGTATGTAAATACTCATATTTTAAGACAATATGAGTGTTCAAAAATATATTATAGGTGTTTTTAATTGGACAACTACATTGTTTGAATCCAAATCAATCAAATGATTACTGATAACAGTGTGATATGACGTCAGTGCATGACGGAAGTACTAATCAAGCGTATAAGTAGAACAAATACAGTTTACCCACAGACAATGTGCGTGTGTTAAAAAGGTTGTGATACATTTGTATACAAAAAATTGAAAATTAAATGTGTAGTTGCTTAGTAAAAGTGTCATGTATAGGGGATTGAGTAAATTATACCTATGGGTCTGAAATCTATCTATAATTTTAGCACTCCCAAAGTTGATGGTCTAGTTGCGCTTATGGTTATAACAATAATTTGTACTCTAAAATATTTCTTAAAAAATGATTTATTAAGCTTCTTAGAAGTTTGGAGATTTTTAATTTTCAGTAAATATAGAAATGGGCATCGTATTCAATGATATCTAATACCTTTAACGCGGGTACGACATTAAATTTAAAATTATTACAGAAAAGAAACGATTTTGCTCGTCTAACTATGTAGATTTTAACTAATTAAAATAGTTTTAAAACCTAGAAATTGACGCGGAAAAAAAATTTAAAAAATATAATATTCGTTTATGAGCCCCCTCCTATTATGAAATCAAAAATATTTGACTTCCAGATATTAGGCATGACCTTATTCAGAATAACGGATCTCTGCGTCAATTTTATAGAACAACTGTAGCCAGGTTGTAGGAATGTGTTTCAAATAAAATATGACGTATTCATTACCGTGCGTAAATTCCGTATCTTTTAATGTTAAAATTTTTGTGAAAAAATTAAGGTTTTAACAGAGCGAAAAATAATCGCATGGACGTTAAAAAAGTTACATTTTAATGGTCGGTTTTATTTTCATTCGGGTTTCAGAGAATTGGCGTTGGAAAACCAATGTCCCGTGGTCCATGTGGAGTGCAGTAGCCATTTTTCGGCAGCTGCTGCGATGAGACTCGGATATCGGTGTATATATTCCTTGAACTACAGAAAATTTAAGGACGAAGACGGTCAAACGATGTTTAACCCGCAGCCACCTCACGAAGAATATCAAGTCCTCGTACTGGATGTTTAAAGAATTTGCTCTGTAAATTGTTGCCAAATTTTCAGACCGAATCGTTAATAATAATTTTAATATATTAATATTTTATGAATTCTACATCCCCAACTTCCACCTACAACAATTGCACATTCATGAGGATTATCAATTCCTTATTTTAATTTTTTTTTTTTTAAAAAAAAATATATAATTGGTATTTGACGTCAATAATTTGAACTCAACAATAACAAATTTTGGAGAACATGACTGATCACTACGCAATATTATGTATTTTAACATTATTACATTATTGTTATATGATATTAATATACTTATATACTTACTATTAATAAATTAATATTAATATACTTTTTGATTAATAACTATATCTAAGTAAGCAGACACTGACATAATTATTATTTATCGTATAGCATGCTGATCAACACGCTTATTAATATTTTGACGTCATAATATTAACTAATTACAATTATTCATATTATTTAATAATTAAATAATTAAATTTAATTAAATAATTAAATAATTAATTTTTTATAAATAATAATTATTTATAAAAACACATTTTAAACTATCTAGATAAAGCTAGAATACTTGATCTACATGATAATATAAAACATATATACTAATTAATTTATCTATAAAATGATTAACTATTTGCTATATACCAGTAGTATATACACAATTGTGCCGTAAACATTCTCTAGATGTGATTTTGAAAATCTTTTTTTTTTCAGATTTATAAGAAATATATGAAAAGTAAAGTACGATTTAGATTACCTAATTTGGTGAACAAATTTAAATTATAACTTAAAAAAGGGGAAGTATTAAATAATTGTTTATAGAAAAGAAAAATCAAGTAACTATAAACATCATACATATTATCCAAAATGATAATATCAAATTATAAATGTCTTAATAGGTTATAAGACTTAAGTAAAATTACTATTTTGTTTTAAAAACTTCCCAAACAAATTTTGAAAACTAGGGTTTACCCGTGTTATGAAAAGTGAAAGTCAGTGTTATTCGAATGTTTTTAATGATTATTCGAATAATAATATAAATGGCATTATTCAATTATGCATATTCTAATAGCATAATATAACTATTATAATAAGAATAACCGATACTTTATTACAATATTCGAACATTAATCGATAATACATATTATTCGTTATCATCCATCTACCTGTTCATTACATGAAAATGAACATATTATTACAAGAACTTAAAATATAATATAAATAATTATTTTTAGTTACTGAATGTATAAAATTCAGATTTTGAATACCCTTAAATTGTTTCACATGGCTTAAGTTTGAATATTAATCCAAAAACTAACTAACAAACTAACTTATCAACTAACTTACTTATTAATATTTTACTTATAATTATAAACAAAATTAAATGCTAGCATATTAATTAATAACATTGTGCAAAATCATTATTACAAAAACAATTATACTTATTCGTGGTAAGTTTTCGTTTTCATATATATTTATTTTTTGATGAAACTACCCTCTTTTAGTGAATATAAAGCAAATTGCCTACTTAATAAAATGTTCATATAATAAGCATTTAATCAATTTGCATAATATACTGAGCTTAAAATAGCGATTAACAGTTATCATTACTAATACAATTATATTTTAGTATATTTTTAAATAATATTTACAAAAAAATCTGCATCTATATATGCTTCATGCAGTTTATTTACTACAGAGTTCTCTGTCGAGAATTCTGACGTTCTAATAATATATAATACCTAGATATGTTAATACATAAAACAACATACTACATTTAATAGCTAATACCATAGGTGTGTACGATCATAATATATTTGTTTCTTAGATATGTGCGCCGTTTAGAGCTGTAAAAAAAAAAAATAAATTATAAACAATATCTAATGTTTATTTTGTTATATCTATTTGAAGTGTTTGTCAGATTTCTGGAATTCAAAGGGTGACTCACACCCATGATGGGTTAGTTTAAGACATGGATGAAAAAATAGTTATCATTAGTTAAATTGTATTTCATGAGTATAAAAGTACTATCCAATTAAATAAAAAAAAAATTCTTGGGAAACAACAGCTAACTGAGAAGGACATGAAGTTAGAAACAGTAAGTCACGGATAAACACAGGAAAAACGTTTTTTATTTTTCGTTTAATACTGTGTACGGGTGAAGCAGTGCGGGACAGCTGGTTACATACAATAGCGTTTTGATAATTATAACATATTATATAATATATAAATATATATAAAGGTTTACCTTTGATAGCTTGTTTCAAATCGTACTGGCGATTTGAAAGATCCCAAAAAGCAATCTTTTGTTCGATAAAGTGTTCAGAATTGGCGTACTTTTCTACATAATAAAATATATATATTAACAAAAAGGCAAAGTATAATATTAAAAAAGTATACCTTATATGTTGTTAACTGATAACTTATATATAGAGTGATTCATCTATCACGAAACATCGATTTTCTCGAAGGATTTTAAGTGAATTTTATTTCTATTTTTTTTTTATTTAGGTATAAAATATTTCTATAATCTTGGATAGATTTGGATGGGATTTCATACCGACCCACATTATTCCAAACTACAATTTTTCCCGAGCAAAAATAATATCTTTGCTTAAAATAAAGTTTTTTTTCTCAACATAATATTAAAACAAAATTTAATGAATTATAAATTATTTATACATAAATATTCCATCAACACACATTAAATTATAATAATATAAAGATTTTACGTAAATATTCATATTAATGAAATCATTATTCAGTGTTTTATGTTCGCACATTAAGGTTACTATTTTATTTTATTTTAGATTTTAAGTGGAGCGACGAAGCTTATGGTTTTACAAAAATGTTTACTTTTTACTCTGTAGATAACTTTTCTACTAGAAGACTTGCTCCAATTTAAACGTGTAGCAACTTTTCTGAAAGGAAATCGGTGTGGAAAGGTACCTTAGAGAGGCCATTTTCTCAAAAGTTTTCTCATCAAATTTGGAAAACCAAAAAAAAAACGGGAAAATATATTAAATATATTACTAAAATATAACGATTTTTTTTCTGTGGATAACTTTTCTACAAGCAATTTTTCTCCAACTTTTAATTATAGCAATTTTTTTAAATGAAAATTTCACTGGAGAGGTACTTTAAAACGTAAGAAAACAGGGGAAATTGGTATAACATTAAACAAATATTATTAAAGAAAATATATAGAGCCTATTCAATTATTTTACTATAATATGATATATATATATATTATTGAAAAAAAGCATCACTATCAATTGAACTCCGCTCAGAATTGTTTTTTTCGTTAGCAATGGTTTATCGTTGCTTACAGATATACATTAAATTCCTATCTGTATCCTACCTTCCCAAATTCTCACCTACACCAGTGGCTGCATCTGTCCCCATTATCTTACCTTTTTTTAGTTTGAAACCGATAGTACTGAAGGATCTGTATTAAAATTACTACTCTATAACATTAAGATTATCTAAAGTATGCAATTATAACTTAAATTGTTTTATTATTTTTAAACAATTAGAAGATAATCATTTTATAGAGTTTATTGTTCTATATATTTTGATATATCAACTTTTTATTTTCATTAAATTTGTGATTTTTTAGATTTCAGAAGAATAAACTCTATACAGTGAATATTTTTAAATTTTTCGAAAATAATAAAATAAAAGTTATTTTTTTTTATTTTTTTACCAAAACATAACAATGTAATTAAATTATAAAATGTATATTTAATCAATTCATTTAATATTAATTGTAATCCTTATCTTCTCTGCGAGTATATATAAAAAAAAAAAAAGAAACAAATAGAATTTGATTAGATATGATCGATATTGCAATGGGTAGATTTTCGGGGGACACCCTGTATATGGTATATTAATTATTGTAGTTGCAAACAATTATTAATATATTATATTATATTATACATATCAATGAGGTAAGCAAAGCATATACAATAGTTGTTATCAATATGTAAAAATAATCTGACCTCTACAAGAATGTTATTTCAGGTCTTCACGATTTTTTTCAACAAAATTACAGCAAAAAAACATAATTGAAAATAATGAAACCATGATTTCTGTAAACTTTTTCGTTCCCTTAGAGGTAAGAAGGGTGAATACACTCCCACCTCAATATTATTAAAATTAATTTGTGCTTTGTTCATGCTTGTTTGTACACTCAGTCTCTCATCGTTTGTATTTAACGCGTTTCAAATACTATATTCACTGTTTCGGGTGAGGGTGCTGGAAACATGTTCAGCACCCCCTACCCCCCCCCAGCTCACAACATTATGAAAATTCGATTGTGCCATTCCTTTGTGCTTGCTTGTTCGTGCACTTGGTCCAGTCATTTGTGCTCAACCCGTTCCAGGGATATTCTCATTTTTTTGCTAGGGTACCAGGGAGTGTATTTAATGAAGCAACATACGATTGAAACGGTTATGAGCATGATTACGAACCATACAAAAATATTACCGTAACGATAATAATTAATAATTAATAAATTGGTGAAATTGTTGAAGCCAATAATATGGATGATTTAAATGGTTCTATCATAAGCGATAGTGATTCTAAGATAGATAACGTGTCAAATACATTTATATTTAAATAAATTAGGTCTACTTATGAATATTGTTTGGAAATTTCAAAAAGATTTTTAAATAATACAAGTGATCGTAAATAAATTATTGGATTTCTTGTTGGATTACGCTGTTGGTCTTTATCACCATGTAAACCACATGGAATTAGAATACGCCTTTCTTAATTATCGTATTGTCGACATTCGTGTAAGGTTCGAAATCGTGCTCACGAATAAGCCAATTTTGAGTTGCTTCCGTAAATACGCTCTCCAGCACACCAACAGAAAACGTGAATATCCTCTGGATGGAACGATTTGAGCACAAACGCCGTGACCAAGTACATAAACAAACAAAACCAGAACATTATTTTGATTTTTTACGATTTTGCAACGTTGTTGAAGAAAAGTAGTTTAAAAAATCATTTTTTTATCTTATACTCATTTTTAATCATTTATACGTGTTTTTAATTTGACAGAAGACGATCGCCTGAATAAACCTTCTGTCGTACAATCTGTCGTTCATCGATAGATTTGAATATCGTAAGCCCAAAAATCAAATAATATACCTACCATTATTTCTTAATGTTTATATCAGATAAGTATTTCATCATAAAAATGAGATGGATACTTCGCAAAAAAATAAATTTAGAAATATTTTTCGTTATTTCATTAATAGTTGACTTCTTAAACTTAATTATTTAACTGGTGTACGTACACTACCTATTGCTGTGGATAATATACATACAAATCAATTAAAAATATGTACAAACAAATATTGGGGGGATATAACCTCCTAACCTCCCCCACTGAAAAAGGTAAAACGCGCACAATCGTATTGCATCAACTACGGCGGTCCATTTTAACCCATTAGTGAACGACTTATTGGGAATTTCCCTATATTCATTCGATAGCCATTGTTGACTAAAACAAAACTTACATGATTCTGTAATGATTAAAAATAAATTTTGAAAAATCGAATTCACTTAAAACCATATGATAAAATCGTTTGCATTTATGATAAATGAATCACTAAATATTTAAAACATTTACTTTTAATCATGAATTCAAAAAAAGGAATTCGAGATACCGGTTTCTCGATCATCCTTCTGATAGCCATCAATTTTTCATATTCCTTCTCTATTTTATGTGCTTCTGCAAAAGTCATTACTGCGACATGAATAATATTATAATATAAAAAGTAAGTAGGTATACAATTATCACAAATTCTTTTCGACAAATTACACTATTGAGCAAGGTTGTTTTTTCGTTGATATTTTTTACAACACCATTGAGCATCACACGATTAAGTACAAGAATGAGCTTATTATAGTCATTATTACTGCGCTCGTACTCCACAGGACTTAACCCCCATTCACATAAGGGTTTTCCCCCATGCTTTATCTAAACCAGTCGTGTTTTTCATTGAATTATTGTTTAGGTTTACACTTAGGACACCAATAACTAACCTTATATCAGTATCGGCAGATTTGGCTCAACAGAATAGGTACCCATAGAATTTTGAACAATTCATAATATTATGTAAAAAAAGCAACGTTACACCTACTATATATGTTAAACTATTTGTACACAAAGAACTCAAATGTTTTTTATTGACCACCCATTCCCTCAATTATTTTATTTGAATATACCTAATAAAATCTGTACACATTCGTAAATTATACTAGGCATTACAAATTTAAAAATTGTTTTTTCATTTGGCTATTATTTTAGTTAATGTATTCAAGTATTATTATTCATGACATGTTTAAAAAATATAATCTAGCAGGGAAATCTAAAAAAATATTAATTTTTTTTTCGTGAAATAAGATTCGTTAGTATTTTCACACTTTAACGAATACAATTTTAAGATCTGCCCACGAAAAAAAAACTGTTTTAGTCCACCCTAAAACCAGCTTATCTTATCTTACTCACACACCCAACCTAAATGTATTGATTCAACATTTTCAACATGATTCCAGCTATGTGTTCACTTAATCATATCGTATTTCGACATTTGCCATCGGGATGACGGGATTCTTGATTAAGCAAGTGTGCTCAATCTTATTGCAGTAATTAATTTATATATATATAATGGGCAAAGTAGGAAATCCGTCTATTGTGATATAATGCTTGAACAATTTGGGTAATTTATTTAATACTCCAGTTTTGCATACATTGACCGGACATTGTACGAGAGTGCCCGATCACTGTGCACGATGCTCGGAATCAGGTAAACACATTTATATCGAATGAAATTTATACGCAATAATTACCTATACCTACATACCTATTTTATTCGTTTAATATCACGACTCACGAAATACCTATTTAATTTAGAAACAAATATCTAATTGTTATTATTATTAATTTTATTCAATATTTTAATTTATATAATAATAAATAAAAAAGACGATCCGGGATAATGGATATGGCTGCAACCACTGTTATAGATAACTGAATGTATACCTGTAAACAACAATAAACCATTGTTTACAAAAAAACGATTCAGTGTGGATTTCAATTTATAATGATACTTTGTCAACAAATATGTCATTTTATAGTAAAATAATTAAATAGGCTTTAAATATTTTCTTTAATAATATTTGTTTAATGTTGTACCGATTTTCCCAGTTTTCCTACGTTTTTCCCGGTTTTTTACATTTGCTGGGAAAACTCGGGAAAATCCAAAAAATACCTCTTAAAAATACCTTGCTAAAAAAAATTTCGTTTTAAAAATATTGCTATCATTAAAAGTTCGAGAAAAATTGCTTGTAGAAAAGTTATGCACAGAAAAAAAGAAGACTATAATATATTTTAACTAACACCTACATTTCGTATATTTTCCCGTTTTTTTTTCAGTTTTTAAAATTGAATGAGAAAACTCTTCAAAAAATTAAAAAATGACCTCCTTAAAGTACAGTTCCATGCTGATTTTATTTCATAAAAGGTGCTACACGTAAAAATCCGAGCAAGTCTTCGGATAGAAAAGTTGCGCACAGATAATAAAAAAAATAAACATATTTGTAAAACTATAAACTACTTCGCTCTACTCAGAATCTAAAATATTATAATACTATGTACTTAACAATACATTTTATTAATAGTTAAATAATTCAATGGATATTAGTTTTTTAAAACTATTAATATGCAATTTAATTAATTAATTTTTGAGGCGTCTATTACAAGTTTTTATGTTTTCAAAGTACCTAGAAAGATGTTTTATTTTATTTTTAATCTACAATGCCCAAATCTTGTTGGGCACTGTATACAATGCCTGGACAATGTAAACTCATTCTAACTTTACCCTCGAAAATTGAGCATTGTGCACCGTGCCCAAGCATTGCAGTACACAATGTCTAACTTCTTACTTTGCCCGTAACATAAATATGTAATTAAAACAAATATTACTTATCAATAATCTGTTGATTCTATCTTCAAAGTCCTCTTCATCTGTATTAGGTGTCGCCATAGTTGTATAATACACTTCAATATTTGTTGTTAATTTCCCAGATGCGTCGGCTCTGCAATATTATATTAAAATTGTACAAAATAACAAATCAAATATTATACGATATACTATTATTATTTTAAGTACATGTAAAATTAAAAAAAAAAAAAACCAGTACTGATAAGTGATAGGTATTGTTAATTAGTGTTATATAATTTAGATCTGTACGCAACAATAAAACATTTTTAACGAAATACCATTCTAAGGGAAGTTCAATTAAACATGTTTTAAAATGGTGTAATTTGTTATTGAAACGATTATAAAAACAATATACACATACAACATTACGCTCAATTTTATTTTTTTAACCATTAAGTACAACTAATAAGTACTTAATTATGGTTGATCTCGTAATAAATTTGTAAGCATTTCAGTTTGATGAAAATAATTTTACCCGTATAAAACCGAATACAAACTAAAAGATCTCAAAAATGTCAAGTGTCCATAAAGAGAATATTGTTGCGGGCGACCGTTTAACATTAAGTTCCAAATGAACTCATAACCAAAGTCAGAAATAATGAATACAATTTTGTTTTAACAGTAAAAATATTTAAACACTTAATAAATTTATAAAATAATGTAACGTCAAGATGTTCACAATTTACTGATAGCTTACTCCAGACTTGTCTGAAAAGGGGTTGTCAGAATCCGGTATTTATACCTGGATCCCCTGACAGAAGCGTCTAAGGCGAGGTTCTTTCCCAACCAGGGGAATTTAGATACTGCATAGTGCACGGAGATAATATAGTGATAATGAAATAACGAGCATTTTTTTGTTAAAATAATTATGTCATTTTACAATCAGTAAAAATTGAAAACAATAAATTAATTTTAATTGTATAATTTTAAATGTATAATGTATAATTATATTATAAAATGTATTTATACGACTCGCGAAAAATAAACTCGTCTAAACTTAATAGTCTAATTTAAAGGGAAGAGGTGTGAGATTTTTAAACATTTACAAGGGGGGCGTAGAATATAAATGGTAGGGAACCACTAGCCTAGGGAGAAAAAACACTGAATGACTACAAAATGGCGGCCTTATGCTCTAATCGTATTTTCACCATAAATAATAAATGTTCATGTTCAATAATATAAATTTAAAAATATTTTGTCAGTTAAAAAATGTATACTTGTATAATTTTTTTTTTTTTTTTGAAAATGTGAAATGGCAATCAAACAGATATTCAAGACAACGCACGATAGGTACAAGCTGAGTACATTTTTTTATTGAGGAGATATTATATTTTTATTATTAAACATGAAAAATGCATTATTTATCTTTTTTTTTTATAGAGTCTTCTATCTATTATCTTGTATAAAACTTTGATTTATGATTTCTATGTAGTTTTATATAAAGTAATATTTTTCAATTTATATTAACATGTTTTCAGTTATTAAATATTAATAATATTGATATTTGATAATCTTATGAGATAATAATACTGATGAATGTTTGTGAAGATAAGAGTAAAACTATGGGTCTATCTCTGGTCAGTGGTGTAGTCACAAATATTGTTTTGTCCTTTGGGTATTCTGAAATACATGATACGTGCAGGGAGACTTTGCCTCTCCCCCGTGGTGCAGTAGACAGGAATTTTTTATGGGGAGTGGGGGTTTATAATAATACTTACATATTATAATAGTCTGTTAATTTAAAAAATAACACATACATAATAATAATAATAATAATAATAATACATTTATATACTTTACATGTTATTAGTGTGGGGGCTTGAACTCTTAACCTCACCCGTGTCTACGGTCTTACCCCCTTGAAACAATTAAATATAAGATTTATCTATTATTTTATATTTACGTAAATAAATGTATTTCTATTTGAAAGATCCTTTTTATTAAATTAAAGGTAATAAACTACAAGCGTATACTTACTATCAGTACCTATTTTATTAAACCATAATATTGATTAAGTAATAGGTTACGATACTCCGTCTAACCTAACCTAACCTTACGAGAGAAGGTACACTCTCCGCGCATTGACCGAATTTCTCTCACTCCTTACCGCGTAATATCATAACCAAACGGGCAAAAGTGGTGGGAAATGCGCAGCAATGGACGAAAAAACGTGTACCTTCTGTCGTGAGACGAATTATAGTAAAATATATTCATTAGTATACTTAACGTTGTCACGCAAATACAATATGTCCATATATACTACTTAAATTCTATGTAGTATTCAATGTTTATAGTTTATTAATAACTTCTAATAATAAATAGATTGTATACCATCAATGTTTTTAAAATGTTGTATTTCTGTACTTGTTAATCCACTACATTTTATTTTCAACAAATCACTGAATTAGGGCTATTTTCACGTAACGATAATTCTATTAGTTTTGATTGCAAAATTAATAGTTATTCTATCACAAGAGACACTACAATTATAAATTTATAAATTACTATTGATTGCAATTTGTCTTTCACTTCTCACATAAATACTATAACTAAAAAAGCCTTAAAGATGCTTGGCCTTATCAACCGTGATACAATTAATTTTAAACATATTTTGACCTTGAAAACTTTATTCTTTACGCTTGTTAGATCTCATCTAAAGTTTGGTTCAATAGTCTGGTCACCTAGTTATATTACATTTATTGGTCTTATTAAAAATGTACAACATAAATTCTTAAAATTATTGTGTTACTAAATAGATGTTCCATTTTCTGTAAATAACTCGTATAACATGCAAATAAGCGAATTGGGCTTTATAACTTGTGAGGTAAGAAGAAAAGTTGCAGATATTATGTTAATTTATGATTTATTGAATGGTCACATTTTTTCCCCAGATCTGCTTTCTATGATTGAGTATAATATAGCAAATCACCGTTTAAGAAACTCAAACTTATTTTATGTACCGTTTTATAAACATAATTATATTGCATATAATGTTATAATTTAATAATTTATACACAGTGATTTTGTTACCATGAACCAGCAATTATCTAAGAGGATTTTAAGTGAATTTGATTTTTGTTTTATCTAATCATTATGGAATCGATTAAGCTATTAAGTAATAAATTTCCCATCTATGACCCTTCTCTACTCCTCTGATCTAAACTTTAAACTATTATAACTCATAAATAATAAATCTAATATAGTGTTATGATGTTAATAATATAATATGTGTTAGAAAAAACAGAAATCAAAATCACTTAAAATTCTCCGAGATAATTGCTAGTTCATGATAAATAAAATGAATAAAAAAAATAAAATTATTGTCTTTCGTCCAACCCGGGAGGAGTTTTGAAATTTAGCAAATATCTCAAATACATCATCAAAAGCGCATAATTTAGGAATCCCCAAAGTTTGTATTAATAAAACTGAAAATGAAATCTCCAGCTGTACAACTGAAATTATAAAAAAGAAAGTTCTTAAATATTATCACACATTATTATCAAATATTATCAAATATTATTATTAGTAGTACCAAATAGACCTATTAATAAACAGCAGTATTCATATTGTCGGATTCTGATGGCAATGATAAGAATTCTAGAAAACGTATAAAGTTGATTTCACTAAAAGTTAATAAACTAGCAGTTAAAACTGAACACATTTAAGCAGAAACTACAAATCAATCAAAAGTGAATAATACAAAAATAAATTCTTCTGGAAAAGAAGTAAAACGAAAATAAATCATAATCTGAGGTTGGTGTAATAACATTGGAATAGTCCATTTTATTATGTCTATTAATACTAGCATACTAATACTATCATATTAATACTAGTATATGGTTATTATTTAAATTTAAAATAAAATCAAATTGATAATTCTCAAACGAAAAGATTGCAAACACGATGAACTGTCGGCTGTCGCGATCCGCGCGGTCGTGTTATGAAATTTGTATTTTGTCGGCGTCACAACGGGCAGGATAGATGCAGTTATTTATAGTTTTATTATCGCATGGATTTTTGATACAGTGATTCACAAGAATCACGGTTATAGATACTTATATGGATTATTTTTATATAACACAACCATATCCCTATGTTACGTACGTAGTATAACGAAAAAACTAATGACTGGCGGCAGTGACAACTGCTAGTCCATTTTCCATGGTATGATATTGGTATTGGTAATATCTAACTTTACGCCGTATCAATAGTCCAATATTGTTCTTTGGCCGTACCTGTTGTACCCTACTACCCACCGTTCCACCTAGTTACTTTACTCAGCCTATTTTAAAGTGGGACACAGGTCCCACTAAAACAGCGTTTTAAACGCCACTGTAAGTACGTAGGTTTGCCTACAATTTGTATGCATTTTTACGATTGATTTTAAATTTTATATGATTATCGTTCTACGGTAATTGAGGTATTAAATAAAACGTTGTCACCCTGGCCTCATCCCCAAGAGAAATATGATAGGTTTCAATGTTTTATATTTATTTCTTACTAAATATAACAGTCCTAATACTAGATACTGACGTTAAAAATGTAAAAAATATACATACCAACATAAATATGATATGCACTCGAACCAGCAAAGTAGCTTGTAGTTGTAGTTGTTGACTGCTTATTTTGCTGCCACCGTGCGCTGAGGAACGTCTTCACGCGTCTACTGAACACTACCTACAATTATCGTCCGGGACCGCGATCAATACGCCTAATTTCTAAAGTTGCAGCAATGAAACACCAGATCACGCCGTAGTAGTTGTTTGTCAAGGGTGTACGAGCCCGAAATCCCGGATGTTTTTTTTTGTATACTCGCTGTATCGATTGACCCAGAGCCGGCCTTAGGCAAGAACTAGCGGGACCCCTGCCCGGACCTCACGCAGTTGTATGAAAATTTAGACTACGCGTTTAACATTATATTATAATGTTATAATTTACTAACTGTGAACTTCACATTGGAACGAATAGTAATTTATTAAAATACTCAATTTAAATTTTCCACCTGATTTTTGTAATGAGAGTTAATTAAACTAATGTTTATT